CAGATATTATGTGTTTTTTCACCTGTAGCCTGGAAGATTTCGAGTTCGTTTTCGAGGTTGTAATACTTCTTTTGCTCTCTAGTATTCTTCATTTGTCTACTTCGACTGCTTTAATAGAAACATCAAGCTTATAGCCCAATAATTCGTCAGTTAGTTTGTCTTTGATCATCAGGTTTATGAAGAAAAACTTCGTACTTACAGACATCGTACAACATGGTGTTACGCGTTATCGAAGCTATTGGGCATGGTTAAAAATTAAGACAGCATAAGCACAATTATTCCAGATATTACAGGTTCCAACAAGTAAAGAATTTTGAGAGTCATGACACAAATAAGCTATGTATTGATTATTGACCATTTGTGACATGCTATAATGAGCAAAAACTTAAGAAACTAATAAATAGGTTTAAAATTGATAAATACAAATGTATTCTGACAGTTTATGAGTTGATTATGCTTTTTATTTGCAAAATTCCTCAACCTTAACACAAAATAAGAAAAAACGTAAATTTTTAAGAAATTTGTGGGATTTCCCGGGATAAGAAAAATTTCCCGGGATATTTCCCGGGTTAAAAAAACAACCGGGATCCCGGAATCCCGTTTGAGAAACCCTATACAGTACAATATTTTCTGAGGAAACACGCATACTTATCCTTTTTTAACCCCATTCCCGATAACCCGGCATTTTTACAAACTCGGCCACTCATCGGTCCACATTAGGCCGAGTTTTCGAGGCTCTACAGTATCACTGAAATAGATGCGTGCACGATTTTATAATTATTTCCGATTAGATATTAAGAAAATTATGTCTACCCCAAAAATAACACCTTCCATGTCTCCGATTACGTCTTCTTCGGATATTAAACCTTGTTTGACATGAAGATCCAACAATGCATCTATAATACGCTGTTTTGTTTTGATCTTTGGTTTTTCTTCATTATGTGTTTCTTTATTTAAAGAAGGTTGCTGCTGCATTTTTTTCACAAAGTTTTCTTTTTTTCCCTTGAACAACTACGCGTTAAATTAAATTATTAATTACTTACATGAAAACAAAAATTTTATTCAAAAGTTAGGTTTACCTTTTCGTCGAAACGATGGATTATTTCAACGTCCCTCTTGTAATTTTTTCCTATTTTACTCATGAAGAAAATTGGGAAAAACCAGTACATTGGATTAAATAGCCATTGAGGAAAATATTTCAGAATTCTATATTAATCAAAAGATAATTAATGCAATTAAATTTACTTTAATTAACTTTGGATTAATAATTTATTTATCAAATAAATTTGATTAATAATTTATTTATTAAATAAAACTTGGATAAAAAATAAAGTACTGTCAACTATTAAATTTACATAAAATTTAACATTACATATTTCATGTGAAGAACATTATAGAATTTTCTTAAATTGAAATAATTTAAAACATGTAAAATTTACTTTAAATCATAAGTTTGTGTAAAAGTTTTTTTTTTTATTTTTGTGTTCAAAATATGCAAAGAAAAAACTTTGCAATTATTTCATATCGTAATTAATTAATTTTTGACAAATATTAAAAATAAGTTGCTGGACATCCAATCACAATATTTTTATATTGTTGTTGGATGTTTAAACTTTAAGTTTTCGTAATCATAAAGACTTCTTTTATAGTACTGAGGCAACAGAAGAAAAACACAAAGATGGATAAACACTAGTTATTTTATTATAACCACGATATGCTTTGCGAAAAGTTGATCTGTCAAACATTTGTCGTTCATATTACAGATTTTCTCTCACGTGTACGAAATACATGAAGTTTAAAATGATATAGCTGATAATTAAATTAATTTGAAAATCTTTCATACATATTTAATGAACACGTTGTATTCGCTTAGAAACTCGATACTTCTCTCCACGCATTGTTCTAACAACTTTTTATTGCGATCAGCACATATAGAAATAACACTTCATTTATAATGTAAAATCTTTTAATTGATAAACAATCAAAATTTAAAATGTTTCGTGTTCCTTCTACTGAAGTTGACTCGAACATTTTAAAAATTTCATCAGATATAAACTAAGTTTATATTATTTAATATAAACATCACTGTTGTAGATATCATTTGAAAAATGAGAAAATATATCTGGAATTGAATTTTCCTACCTGTGTATTGCAGACAGATATTCTTGATCGTTCCTAGTCTGAGAATGTANATAAGCACGTATAGCTAAAACACTTTATTTATAATGTACAAACTTTTAATGTTCGGTTAATTGATCGACAAGCAAAATTTTGAATGTTTCGTGTTCCTTCTACTGAAGTTGACTCGAACATTTTAAAAATTTCATCAGATATAAACTAGCTTTATATTATTTAATATATATATATTATATTTGTAAATATTATTTGAAAAACGAAGAAATATATCTGGAATTGAATTTTCCATACCTGTGCATTGCGGACGCATATTCTTGATCGTTCGTAGTCTGAGAATGTAGAGAAACTCCTACTGCTATGTCTACATAGAAATAAATTGATATTTATGTTTTTTATATAAATAAATATACGTTGTTGGAAAATAATATTTCGTTTCGGAAAGGCATCGCATAACAAAGTAGTTTCACTAAAAGAATATAGTACTGTACGAAACAGGAAAGTAATCAGTTAGGCAATGCAAAATTGATTATAGTCAGCTATATTTGTAACTGCTGTCGCTAGACAGGTATAGTTTTAATAAAAATAGCAGTTACACAAAAAGGAAGTCTTCTAGTGTGTTAGAATTTTACAGGACTAAGTCCGTAATTACCGAGAAACGTGTAAGTGGTAAAAAAAACTGTTTGAATTTCTGCCGTTGTTCATTGTTAACTTCGTTAAGGGAAGTTCAGTAGCTCATTTTTCTTGCAGTGATATATATGTATATATTTTATTTTTTTTGTTTTAAATTCGTTTCATACTTTTTCTACGTGTTAAGCAACAAGTACAAACAATGAATGTTTTATTTAATTTTTACGTGTGAACAAATTGATATTTATAATTCTTAGTTAAATATTTTATATTAGAAAGCAATACCTGCGATTATATCGAGAGTGCAATATTTCATCCATTCCAGAATATCGAATATTTCATTCTTCTGCAATTGTTTCAGTTTTTCCACTAAGACGTTTGAATGCTTCATAAGTATATTTTGATTATTTTTCAGATTCCAGAGATGATAATGTGGAGCTAAATATTTTCTTCTTCTTCTCCAATTGTCGTCAGAACTTTATTTAATTAAATTTAGAAAAGTGTAAACAACAATATTTGAACTAAATATCAAATAACGTATTACCTGTACAGAATATTGTTGTCTCCGAGAAGTGGCTTCAAGAAATCATAAGTAGAATCCTTATTGATTAAACTGTTGCTTTTTAACACTTCCTACAAAACGTAAAACTGTATATTTACATTTGTAATGAATATGTTACATAACTAGATATGTTTGATTACCTTTGCAGATTCTGGATGAAACAAACAAATAAATTTATAGCCAAATATGTTCATACAGGCAGCTTTCTCGTTTGGATATACCGTAGAAACTGCAGTGAATAAATTTAAAGTAACTGGAAAGATAGAAAAATATTTACGCATTTATAAACGGTTAAATTTGCCAATAAAATATTATTGACATACATATCCCGATGAATGAATTGTGGTATCGCTTGTCACGTTGAGAAAATACAATGTTCCACAAAACTGGTAAAAAGGACACGGACGGAAGATTCATTTTTAACTCCTGGCCGTTGCCTTTATTTTCGGAAAAATTAGTGTCTGTTATAAAAATAAATAAAAAGATTATAACAAGCAATTATTTATTGTGACATCGTCAGAATAACGAGCAGCAATTTTTAATTATATTTTTAATTTATTATATTTTAAATATATGCCCATGTCTCAAATTAGTGGCTGCTTGCCCCTGTACGTCATACTTTTTTTTAACCCCAGAGTAATACCCGTAATGTATTAAGAATAAAAAAGTTGTTTAAACTGGCAGATTGCCCTAGAATTTTGTAGTAGTTTGAATTCGCGGATTGTACAAATTAAAATTTCTATAGTTCATTGTCACTTTATTTACGTCAAATGCCGATAATAGTAGAAAAGAAGGTGGTATTATAGAATTCCAATTACATTTTAGTGAATTGTAAACAAGGTATTATAACTACATACAAATTTTTTGTGTGTAAAGTACTAGTAACTATTAATCTAAATGTTCCTAATTGGATTTTTCACTAATGTAACTATAAGTATGGTTTTTGAAGGCTTTCGTACAAAAAGTCAGAAAAAATCGGGTAGTAATATGGAACCTTACTGTATATTTTCAAAATTCTTTAATATATTAAAAAACAATAAGGAAAGTACAAAGAATGTTAAATAATTATAAAATCATTTACTCCAATGTATTTTATCGAAAAAAATACTTTCATAATAAAAAAATATGACCACCATCAACAATATATATACCAGCAGCTCTTTTTCGATATTCTCAGAAAGAATTGACCTAGTGTCTCTCTATTTCAGAAATTACTCCGGACGAATGTCTGCTTGCAAAGAAAGAGTTCGAAAAAGTTGAGTTCTATATTACTGAAAAAGCATCAATGGGGGTCCGTATTTCACGCATCGCCATCTTGAATTAACTTATGTCAGTCAACACCAAAATTTAAAAAACATGAACATCACACAGATTAATATGTACCCCTAAGTCTCTCTAACGGAATATATGAACCAATGAACCTACAACTACACGATTTATATTTTAAAAATAACTAAATTCACTTAGCAATCAAAACTTGCGAATTCTGAAATAAACAAATTTGCTGATTAAATACGGACAACCGTTTAACTGAAGAAAAACTGGTTTTTCCCTTGCTATGGATGTCTGCCTAGTGCAGTTCAGCCACAATCCGCTACAGTTCGCCTTTATTATCAGTTCGAAATGAGGTGGTTCCATAATAACCGCAGCGTTCCGTAATACCACTTTTTTTCTAGTATTAAAAAGAAACAAAAATGTAATCCAATTAACTGACAAGTGAGTTACACGATTTATTAAAGTATATCCACGTGTTCGGTATTCAGAAAAGTATTTGTCCAAGTGTGTATTACTTGTCCAGCTTACACGTACACACATACGAGTATCTGCCGATCATCTGCTTAGAATGAAAAATGTTTGTACGAGGTCTATATAATGGTCAATTCTCAAACAATAATTTTTGCTGCTGGTTGCACTTATAAGCATTTTATATCTGTCAATGGAAAAAAACGATCCAAAAGGAAAAAAATTATGACTGGTAACACTTAAACAAAAATGAAAATTATTTAGAAATATTATTTAGACTAATATTATTAATACAGTCGCCCCCTATAACACGGGTTCCTATAGTTCAGATTCCTATATCACGGCAAGAAAACTGCGACAGTATTCGTACAATAATGTAAAAAAACTCCTATAATTCGGTAAAACGTCATCTCCGACTCGTTTCGCGATAGGATTGCACAAACCATTGAGTTTAAACGAGCAGCGGAGCTACTAAAATCAATTTATTATTTAACGTGCATAAAAATTATATTTATATTAACGATATCTCCAAAGTTCAGCGAATTTTTCGCAAAAAACATAATTTATCAGGAAGCACGCGAGCATTCGACGGCAATCTTCGCGACGAAAACAAGCTTAAGCAACGACGTAGTCGAACGGTGCACACTCGGTAAGTAATCCTACAATTTTTTGTTTATAGCATAGTTTATACGAATTATTACCAAAAAATTATACGTATTTTGAAAATGTTGAGTCGAATTAGTCTAGAATCGATTAATTTTATGGAAGAAACCTTTCAAACAGCCGTAGTCCGTAAATTGCATACATGCCGGGCTATGATTGGCTGGAGTCGTAAAAAATGGATTCATAAAAACAGGAACGTATCTACTTGTGTTGTAGGGGGGTCGACTGTACTTTAAAAATAAGAATATAAAAAATACTTTTACATAGATAACTCTTGGACGCATTGCAGTTAATAAAAAAAAATCGTAAATTAAGAATTAGAAATTCAGACCGAACATTAAAACTCAAGCAACCAGTTGCTTAACTTTCCCAGCAACATTACTAACTTCGTTCGGCGCCATCTGTTATGATATGTTATATTTTAAATTTTAAAAACGATTTATTTCTTGAGGTAAACATTAAACAACGAAAACTAGGCACGGTGACTAGTGTATTAAATGTCTACAAACATCGCTAAACCCGATATATAATATAACTACACACCAACCGAATGCCGAAAATCTATCGGGCTAGTATAAGGCTAATTATTATATGAATTACGTAACTAATTTGGATTAAGAGGTAAGCGTTAGGCGCCATCTGTTATGATATGTTATATTTTAAAAACGGTTTTATTTCTTAGAATAAATATTAAACTTAATTAGGTCTAACTTAATGAAGACTTTAATAATTATTACAATTTACAATTTTTTTTAATAAAATTTATCTTTACTGTTAAAATTGAGCGGTTTACAATTTTTTTAAATTTCATAAACGGTGAAGCCACACCCATATTATTAATAGGATAATTAAAAGTATAAAATCATTTTTTAAATAAAATCTATTAACAGTCTGTAAGATTACGTAATTTGCTGCTGGACTTTTTATAATGCTAAACATTATTGCGTAATTGTAAAATTTATTAGTTGTATTATTAATGTAGTAAAAATTGCGGCAAAAGTGCTTGTAATAAACTTTTCGTTAATTTTTATACAATTCTTCAGTTATTTAAAGCATAAGTGACAAGTTTATCACGTACAAATATAAATAATCTCGCACAACTAACAAAATAAAGTGATATGCTCTTTAGAACCACGATTACAAGAAATAATCTCATAAAAGTATGAATATAAAATAGCGGGCTAATCGACAGAATGCAGGCATATTGTTCTAAGAATGTGACAATTATTCAGATGCCCACGAGTATAACAGTTTCAAGTTTAACATGAAAGACTCACAAACGACACAAAGTTATTATTCAGGTAACGTTATAGATTTTCTGATAACATTAGAAAAAAAAATGAACGATGATTGCTTTGATTGTAGTACATGCTATTATGGCTACGACTAAAAAAAAACAAACAAAACAAGATTTACAAAGGAAAAAAACATTTTTAAATATTCGGAAGAGTAATTATAGAAAAGACAATTGCCATGATTTCCCACAAACGTTGAATTAACAGGAAGATTACCTGATGTTATATTAATCAACGTAGCCATACCGAAGATGAACGAGAAGTACCGGCACTCGAAAGCTGTAATTTGAATTATCAGAATCTACGGTTTATTCCTGTATTTATCTATTATTTAATATGCTTATGTATTAAACGGAGTAAATGTATATATCAGAACCTAAAAAATTCGTTTTAAGTAATTGTAAGGATCCGAAGCTAATAGATTATAAGGAATAGCAAAAACGCACTTTACGTGGTAGACGATCGACCAATGGAATGTTAATATTTAAACATTTGACTTTAATTTTATAAATTTCCGCTATTTTAAAATAAAACTTTCAAAGGGACCACAAAAGAGGTAGGTGGTCGGTTGTCCAAAGAACTTTTTAGCGTACGCAGACATTTTTTATATTTTCCGCTAGATTGGTGTCGCGAAAATCGCTCTCTTTGTATATCAAGTCGAAATTGCGGAATTTGGAATTGCCAAAACGATCCAAATAATTTATTCAAAGTTCAGCACTTCCGTACTGCTCATCGCGGAAACTAAATATAAAAAATTTAAATTTCATCCAAATCGGTTAGTTGGTCTTGGAGATATTAATGATCAAATATATAGGCGTAAAACAACAAGTGCCAAATAATGTCAATCAGAATTAGAATTTTTTGCCACGTGATTTACAGTCTGCCTATTATACAAGACTAACTTCGTACTACATCCAGACTTAACTTCGCCCATTTCTTCCCTCGAGCTTGAAAAATTTAATTTATGCCATAATCGGTTCTGTTACCGAGCAATGGTATTTTACTTTAAAATTTTTTACGTTTACAATCATTTTTTAATTCAGAAATTTATACGTTTTACGAATTTTCTGTTTTAAATATTTGTTTAGTATAATGGTAGTGGAAATCTGACCGAATACAAAAATTTTCCTACAATTCAATTCTAAAAGAGCCAAATAAAGTAAGATTGATTCTCCCATTCTCATTAAATCGGTGAGTCAAAAACATCATGTAATTACGTTTAAAGCTTAGTTTTTTATTAAAAATTATTTTATATTCTAGTGTAAAACCAATACTTTAGTTAAGACGAAGCTTTCGTTTGAAATCAAATTTTTACAGGAAAGCTTTTATATCGCAATTCCATGCCAATGTATATGTATAATAGGTGGTCCGTTTATAATTTTCTCAAATATCTGGTAAAATACGTGTGCAACAAGGAAATTTATAAGAATAAAAGTTCTTTATTGTCGTGAATTTTGATGAATTGTCGTGAATTAAATATATTATGTATATTTATTAGAATTCTATGAAAATTAAGCAATTTTTTTCTCTTAGCAGGCACCGGGCGCAATCAAGCCACAAAATATCGACGAAATGAACTGAATTAAATTCTTTTGGGTTTTATGTTAATTATAATTGTTTTCTTTACAATTAAACAAATATAAGGATGTTTAGGATCAAGTATGTGAGACCGTCTATAAATGATGTAATAATAACGTCATTAAATACATCCAAATAATAAGATTTACATCAGCCTGTGTAGTAATGTGTAATGCAAGAATAAACAGGGAAACGGCCCTTGGAGTGAAACAATTGAACTCAGGCATACGAGTATTGGAGGTTTGTGCGCATCACCAACAGCCTGCCCACGTGAAGTGTTTTGTATCTCGTATCAAATAAGTAATTACGTGTCACTTTTCTATAAAAGTCTATTCGGTAAATATTTCCCTATCATATTGTTCAATTATTGCGTGGCCTTATTCAATTGACAGAATCATTCTTTCTAGACCACGTATTTCATTCGAGGTAAGCATTCCTCGAGGACGATATTTTTCAGTGCAATACCAGAAAAACCCACAATATGTATTTAAAAATTTAAATTAGAGCCCACAGGAATAAACGAGTTTCAAAAATAAAATGTGCATATAATTAGATATATATGTCTGTATACAATGAACGAGTCGTAAATATACTGCTTATATATGGACTATATACACACAACAGACAAATAAATAAACGAATATACGAGTATGCGTATAGTCACAACTTCGTTTAAGTACAGACAAATGCAATTAACATTTTTCGGTAACAAAATTAATTTGCCACGCGTAATGCAAGAATAAATGTAAGCGCTATAAAAGTATGTTGTTTAATGACTGTAAAAAATTATAGATTTAGAAATTCTCATTGTCGTCTGTCTGGCTGTCTTTTCTTAATGTAAGTTTTGCCGACGTTGAGGGGGAAAAAGTCTATCTCACGTCAGAATGAGCCTAAGGGAAACCGCGTATGTAGGCGGTGGCGAAGGAGGCAAATGATGAACAAGTGTTTTACAAGATAAAACCCGTTTATTTGTTCGAATTCATGTTTACATCGATAATGGACAATTCCAAAATCTCGGTGCTCCTGGGAACGGCGAAAGTTCGTGATCTTGGTCGCAGTTCGGACGGACGAGAAAGATATCTGGACGAAGTAGAAGTTCGTTGCGGCGTCCTCGGTGATCGGCGGATGCACAGCACAAATTTAATCACCACTGTAGGGTTAATCCGGAGGAGACTTTCCTTCGACCTTGAAGTGCCGATTTTTATAGTTTTTCCCGCACTGTTCGCATTTCGGATTGGTCCCTCGTCCCATTCCTCGCTTCCCGATTGGTCTCTCCTTTGTCTCCAGGTGCAAGACGAAACTTTTTCGGGTCGCGGGAAAGGTCCGATTCGAGATGTCCATCCGATACCTCTTTGTCGACTCTGCTCGATGACTGTTTATAAAATAATAACACCTGCACTCATAACTCAGGCCGTTATTTACCATTTTTTGACGTCTAAGAATTCAACGATCATTTTCACCTTTCACCTATCAAAAATTCCTCTATTTTTTGTTCGAAAAAGTTTATCTCGGCCAACATTTTATAGACACGCAGGTCAAAGATCTACCTGTTTATGAGCGCTCGTGTTAGAGTTTGTCTTCCGCTAAGACATTAACAGATAGTTGACACATACTCGAACCGTTCCGAGTCTCGTTGTTTACATCTCGTGTCGCGAAAGAATTTCACGGTTTACTCGAGTTCGAACTTCGTCTGGGAACCCACATTAATCTCGAGATCGAAATTAGATACATAAGCGTCAAAAGTAAATATGGAAGCCAACACTACTTACAGTAGAGTCTCGAAAACTCGGCCTAATGTGGACCGAAGGGTAGCCGAGTTTGTGAAAATGTCGGGTTATCGGGAAAGGGTTAAAAAAATAAGTATGAATGTTTCCTCAGAAAATACTGTACTGTACTTGTATGTATTGTTTACTTGAGAATACAACAGAGAATTAACTGCCCAAATACCTTTAAACAAAGTACGTCCTTAACGAAGGTGTGGAGTCTTTACTGCATGAAAATAAAAATTAATGAATACTGTGTACAGTAATTTACCTGATAAGACAAACCTCAGAAAAATACTTTATGAAACATAAAACTGTCTATAATGAAAATTAATTAACTAAGCCCTGCCGGATAACTCGACCCTGCCAGGGTGTGGCCGAGTTATCGAGTGTCGAGTTTTCGAAACTCTACTGTATAACCTAACCTAACCTTTAACATTAAACATGTGGCTGAGTTTTACTACAGAGCTCTGTAGCGCTGACGAATCACTTCTTTGTGTTAAATTAATGATATTTTAAAAATTAAAAGAAACAAAAAGTATTCAATTATTGGCTTATTTTCAAAACAACTGAAACACAAGATGTAATAAGAATGTTTTTAATAAATGGTTACAACAAACGCATAATCAACAACTGGATTAATAATAGAGAAACTAATAAACACAAACATGAAAGCAACGACCCCCAATCATTAATTTTTTTGAATTCCGTACAAACAAAATATATTTGAAAGAATCAAATTTAAATCAAACAAATATGGTATAATTTAATGCTCGAAAAAATCTGTTGTTTCAATAGGAAGATAAACTGTTGCACTTCATTGTAACAGTGAAGGTTGCCAAATTATTACGGTTAAAATTGTTAATAAAGAATCCAGTATACAAAAAAAGAAGATGGTATAAAAATGAAGAAATACTAAAAAACAAAGACAGAATGCTAAATAATAATACTCGTCAAAAATTACATGTAACATGGTATCCATATCATCGTGTTACGATTTTACTGTAAATAAGAATATCAACTTATTGTTTTAAAGGCACACTTATTTTTTACTTCATCATTCTATTTTGTTTTTTTAATGTTAAAACAGATTCTAACGTCACGGTTTTAAATGTTATTGTTTTAACACTGTACTTTTTCAAATATATTGTTTGCCTCTCGCTGCTACTGCTACTTTATGTATAGTATCTACTGTGAGTTCACAACTTTTACACGTTGTTATATACGTCGTTATTGTAAATCATTAACATTTTAACTATTGTTATACCAAATACCTGTAAATTAATAATTATCATTAGTATGTTATCAATCGTCACTATGGTTATGAGTAGCACCATTTCTGTGCTTTTCATAACCATGTAAGTTAAAAGTTTTTACAAATTTTGTAACAGTGCAAAAATTTCATGTTAACTTGTGTTTATTATTTTCTAAACAGTTACATCACAAACAGTTGAAAAGAGATACGAAGTCCGAAATTCATACTCTAAGAAATAAAAATGTGATTTTCTAAAGATTGTTCTCTTTCTAATTGATGGTGTAATAAGTCTAGCGGAAAAGAAAAGTCGTCATACAGCTCGTAAAATTCAATATAAGACTAGAAAAGAAGCGTATTACAGAGGTAGATTGATGCTATTATATTTTCGTAGTTAAGGGACAATGAACTGGGGAAATAAAGGTGGTCGTGTGTATTTCCAGCAGGGTCGAGCTTAATGACGATTTTACTGGTTATTAGTGTATTAGTATTTTAAGAATTTTTATAACACTTTTTCTGACTTTTAAAATCTAACTTTTCCCAATTTTATAACAGCTTAAAATAAAAACTTTTAAAAATAAAATATGATAACAAATGGCGTATCCTAACGTTTCCAGGAATGATAAGCAACTAGTTGCTAGATTCCACCATATTCACCGCCAAGGGCTATTCCATCTTGCAAGTCATCACATATGTTACCGATAGACCTACTCATGCCGTTCTTTGCACCGATTGCAAAACCTTCCTCTCCGCCTTAAACAACTGCAATAACAAATGTCCTACTATCTTCCACAGCATCCGTAACAAACTACACATCCACTACAGCCACGAGAAGCATATACACTTTATCTGGACTCCTTCTCACCTTAGTATCGATATCAACGACAAAGCAGACAACCTCGCTAATAGCAATCTTCCAAACACAGTTAACACCAATCTTATAACTCCCGAAGATCTCCTAACTATCAATAACTCCGATCACCAACACAACATGAAAGACATCTGAAGCCATTATTCAAACCACAATAACTCTCCTTAGTTCAACGACGGGGCACATACCGGCATATACACCATTTTCGTTCGTTATATTAACGTTTTAAATTAATCAACCGCGCAAAAACCGAATCTTTACTTACAAATCACTTTTTTTACACCCGAAAAATAAAATAATAATACAAATACACTCTTCATTTTGATTTGTCTCACATGCAATGTTCGCTCTAAGCTGCGCGGCTGCGCACTGCTCAAATTGTTGCCGCGCACGAGAATTTATGTGCCGTCAGGCGAGCATGCACACCGATTTGAATTGTTGTTTATATATTTCTCGCTCTGTCTGCAACATGATTATTGCTGCGTATATTTCGATTAAATACATTAAATAAATGACAAAAGATAATATTTCGTATAAAAGTATGTTGTGGAATGAATTTTATTTTCTACTTTATAATAAATTATTTTAATTTTTATAGGAAAAAATAAGATTTTATATATGTGCTCAGAAAAATTTTTTGCTCAGAATCTGCTCAGCAAAATTTTTCTTTGCTCAGAGAAGTATATGTCCCGCTCATTTACAAAAAAAAAAAAATAATAGAGGGAACATTGCTCACATGCATTGAAATCATTTAGAATAATTTTCAACGGAGCGTTAGAAATTATAATTTTAAGCAGAAAAAGTTCGCAGTTAAATTCGTTTCCTCTTTTTAATATTTGTAAGTGCTTTTTCCAAACCAAGAAAAATTTACTTAAGTGAAGATTGTTATAAAGTGCTTTTTTGTTAAATTAACGACAGTTTCAAACATTTACTTACCTGCAGATGCAGAGGAAGACGAATAATTTTCCCGTTGTTTTCTTTTGTTAATCCATTTCTTTCCTAATGAATATATCACTAGAAGAGATATAATAAGCAAACTTAAAAGAATTTGTAAAGTCGACAGAAGCATCGTTAATACTCTTCTTGCTCTGCACTGTCAAGTGTACTTAATAATTTTCTACGTATATATATCTCTGCAAAATAATAACCCTGGAAAAATGCCAATTACAGTCAGACTTTTATGACACGTATTCGACACCTGTCAATTTTTGACGTCAAAATCGCCATGCAGTAAAAATTGGAAGCGCTGTCAGAATTTTGTTATAGCAGAAATATAATTTAATCTAGGATTTGAAATATTTACAAAATATTTTGTTTAAAAAGTAAACATAATCTATGAATAGTTTTTTAGAAGTTATGTAATAAAAAAATATTATTTTAAATGTAGTTAGGTTTATTGTTATTTGACATGAAAATGATACTTACTACACACTTGCGTCAAACCCAGCATGGTTGTTCGGGAGAATGATGTTCGATCACCGGTCAGACAAGGTAAACATTTTCGGTGTTCTGATGGAAAACCAGTACGTGCCACGAATTTGTGGGGGAACCGATGCAATCTACAACAGACACGGTGTTTCGGCAACACATTTCTTGACCACACGTAGCACCGCGAACTCTCCTTAGTGCGAATGAATGATAATATTCGTTGAAACAGTCAGAGAAATAATATTGTCCTGTCTCTTGCAAGGTTGACTAAATTAACAAGATACATTAGGTATTTACGATCATAACTCATTTAAAGTAATGTTTTCATAATTGGTGATGCATTCATAAGATATGGAGTATATGTTTAGGATACTGCATTCAACTACGCAGTTAACAAACCACAAGTAGAACAAAATTGTTACATTCAAGCCATCCATATCCTACATTTTAGAGATGCAAAGTCAGAATATTATCAACTTGATATAATTGACCGAATTTGTAGCTTATACAGTATATAAGAAGAGTTTTTTGGCGAGCCACAAATTCGTTAACCGTAATAAAAATAAGGCCGAGAGTTTACTAGCTTAAAGACGGGGGTAAAAATCTTCTCCATAAAAACTTTTAATCACGAGACCTATTTGCGTTTGCATCTGGATTGCGATGGTGGTCCCGATAGCGAAGTTTTTTACAGCGGTACTGTCAAAGTTATAAACGCAATGATTATATTCTACGAGTTTTTTATGTACTATAATTACAAATGTATTACAATAATATCTTTACTTTCATATATTAACTTTTATTATCGTATTATTAATTCAGATAATATACAGCACTTATAAGCTTAGCCTTTTTATTACATACCACTAAATTGAAAGATTTACTTTTGTTCGTCCATATCGCGTGTTTTAGGAATCCGTTATTATTATAATCGGGATACCTTTTGTCGTAGATACATGAATACTTTAGGATGTTTCCGACAAATCTTTCCAGATCTAATCTAGAGTAGCCACGACAGAACATACACCAAAGCTCGTTTTTCGTCATTTTCCGCCGTATTGCCGTATATGCCTTATTGCAATGACGTAGATTTTACTGACTTCTGATTGCTGGATGGTACCGTTTCACGGCCGAATTCTCACCGAAAGAAGAAAACTGCTCAACTCGCTTTTGCGCTGTTTTTACGACCTGCTCGGGCATAAAATATCATGATCAGCTCATTAAAAGCTTCTACAGCGAGGGATTTTACGCCCTATTTTACGCTAGTGGAGTCTCGGCCTTACTCTTCTCCTGTAGTCCAGTTTGTGGTGGACAAATCATCTTCGATATTCCAAATCAGGGCTTATTAAACTACGCATCGCAATCTTAAATGGGATGGCAAAGCGAAGTGTAAATAAAATCACATTACAAATGAAGTCGCCTAATAAATTGTATTCAGATATTAAAAAATACACCAAAACGCATGGTAATTGCGGGAACACTTTGTAATTCAGGGTATTATTTATTTAACAAAGGCAAATACATAACTTTATGTTCCACGTAAGCGCACCAGAAATATGTGAGAACCGTGGGGATGTAGATCCGTGAGCTTAACTCTGCTCTGTGAGGAGATGGCTTATGATTTAACGGAAACATGCAAATCGTTCAATGGCTGTTTCCGATCAGGAACTGACACCAGTTAAGATAATTACACGCGTCCTAACTCGCGATTCGTAACACTATCGTAGGTGGTCTGGTTAAACACTTGACGGGGGATAGACGTCCGTTCTACGAAATAATAGACAGCTTTTGACAAACAACAAATTTAATTATCAAACGTGAAACTAAGATACAAAGTTATAACTAAATATGGCAATATCGCGTTGCAAGTTATAAAGATTTATAGAAAACGGCAGATACACGTTATACTCTACGTACTTAACCTAACCTAAAAATTTCCAAGACAGAGCGTTTACATTTAAACCAAAATACCTCTGATAAATACTCATATCCAATGTTGCCGTGACAATCGTGGACTGTGAAGGCTGTCGGGGAAGGTGCGGCGATCAGGTCTCGAAAGGTGCATGGAGTGAGGTTCGAATATAATGCAGCGGGGAGACTATCCTTGAACGATCGCTGATGACTTGTGGATAATCGCCCCGAGGTGCGGGTGCGACTCCTTTTTATACACATCTCGGAGGAGGAACTATCGAAGAAAGTTCTGATGCATTCCAGTCTAAGTTTGATTTGCGCCGGATGTTGTTTATGTTAATGGTCAGAAATCGAACGTTTTGACAAATTTGTTACCTCTTTCTATGCTACATGGTTACTCCTTTTACCTCATAAAATTGATAACATCTGTCAAACGTATTAAATTAATTGCTGGTAGTAACTAAGGTCACTGTTTGTGTTACAACCTTAGTAATAATTGTTAAATTGGAAAGATATGCGTTCGCTCTTCTCTAATAAGAAATCGAGAGAAATATGATGTGTGTGGGTTTTTCGTAGTTGGTTAAATAATTAATGGGTTTTAATGTACTTTTCGTTCAATACTTGTTGATTTTTTTCTTGTTTTTGTTTTTGCTTTACATTTAGATACTTCAAAAAGTCGTAATGATCACAGTGTTTTCTTATTTATAAATAAAAATAAAAATATAAAATAATTGAGCGAAGCTCTTCTTCAATTAATTCAAGTAAAATAAAATATAGCCTAAATAAAATGTATAAAGTAAATAACTTATTGTGTTTAGATTTCGATCTACCTTTCTATCTTTGATTGACATATATTTGACAAATGGCGAATTATCTGTTATAAAAAAACTCGAAACCATTACAAGGAAAGCTATGAAAATGAAGTCTTTTTTAAGGTAAAGCTGAAGTCACGGTTGTGATTTCAATAACAATTTGTCATACACAAAACTTATCAATAGGATCTACAATGGAAACAAAAAAAAATAATAAATGCGCTATTGTCTAGAGTTTAATCATTACAGTTGGCATTTAATTTTGCTTTGTTCAAATCGAACAATCAATCGTTACAGAAATTCTTTTCCTTATCTATTTTCTTATCTATTCTAATCCTTTATCCTTATACCTTAACGATTGATTGTTCGATTTGAACAAAGCAAAATTAAATGCCAACTGTAATGATTAAACTCTAGACAATAGCGCATTTATTATTTTTTTTTGTTTNAGAATAATCTACTTGACTCTTCGAAAAATTAATTAAAATAAATTTTAGAAAATATGCGCGTATAATTTTTAACTAACACGCTTTTAATTTCTGAATTCTTACCGTTTTGTCAATGTATTCTGTATTCTGAATCATTTAAAATGTTTGAATTCGTCGAAAGTGCAAAACTAAAGATATTTCACACAGTTCAGTCTTTGTAATTTACATACATATATATATATGTAAATTACAAAGACTGAACTGTGTGAAATATCTTTAGTTTTGCACTTTCGACGAATTCAAACATTTTAAATGATTCAGAATACAGAATACATTGACAAAACGGTAAGAATTCAGAAATTAAAAGCGTGTTAGTTAAAAATTATACGCGCATATTTTCTAAAATTTATTTTAATTAATTTTTCGAAGAGTCAAGTAGATTATTCTTGTAACAATAGCCCAAGTAGTCAAAACACATTGTTCATCTGTCAATTGTAGATTCAATTGGGCCTAAACTGAACTATAGAGAAGTTACTCCAACATCTCAAGGAAAAGTTTTTCAGGAGTATCGACGGTGTTGTCGAAGGTGTGAATATGCACATTATCATCATGAAACAACACAACGTTGTTTCAAGTGTTGTTACATCATATTATGACTTTGAATTTTTGTATAAGATATATAATTTATCAGATATAAATAGTTTTGAATTGGTACAGAAACTCCTATTTTTGCATGAGACTTGCCCAAAAACTTCGTAGAGTCCTACTATGATTATTAAAAACTTATTTGTCATATTTAAAAATTTTAATAAATAAAATCGAATTGTAAAAAACTTGAACAACACTAATAAAAATAAAATTATTTTATAAATAAAATATCTTCAATTTAACTAATTCATTATATTTCAACTATTTTTTAAACTTATTTTACTTAAATTTGCTTTGTATGAGATGAAGATAAAATATTTACAGAAATTACTGTATTGTTTGTGAGTATAATAAAGAGAGTCACGAATTTAACCTTCGGTTTTCTGAAAGTAAAGCTGAAATCAAGGTTTTGAATATAGTACAGATTAGTTTGACGATTAAAAATTTATCAGAATGATCAAGGAAAAATAAGAAAACTGAAAGTAATTAATTATTTTTGAGTATTGTATTTTTATTTCGTGGAGTTGCCAGCAATTTATTTATTGCCTGGAGCTATGACTTTACTTGCTTTAAGTTCTACTTCATTTAATACGAACGATAATCAGTAGAGAAGGAAATTTTCACTTAGTAATAATTATTTTTCTAAATTAATTTAGAAAATGAATTTAACTTAGTATAGATATATTTCACCTTTCGTCGGTAATTGGTTTCAGGAGAAAAGACGTAAGTCGAAATACGACGTAAGTCATATTTATTTGTCTCCGAATTTACTTGTAAGTAGACTAAATTATAAATTACTATTCTTGGTTCTGTATTTTATTTCTTAATGCATTTTTAATAATATATGGTTAATAAGGATCTATTTTAAGCTTAAAAATAAATTTTAGTTTTTAATTAATATAGTACAGAAAAAAGTAATCTAAATTTACGAATGCATGTACTGTAAATACAGTACATACTTGTAAACGTATATATTTTAATATGATTTTATGTGCTTTAAACGTTTTTCTAGTGAGATTAAGACTTCAATATTTGTGGTAGACAGACGTCAAGTCGAATAAAATGACTTAAACTTGATTTTTTTTCCACATAGTTTTTTGACAAACGACGTAACTCGAAACGACGTAAGTCGAGGTATATCTGTATTAATAAACTTAACTGAATAAATCTGGAAATTTATTATTTTGTGTTATCATATTTTGTTCATATGTTATTTTATTCATATGTTATTTTGTGTTATTATGTGTTCACATAACGAGCGGAAGTTGAATAAATACCTGGTGATGAAAGGGGAAATTCTGATGGAGTTCTTGTTAATTGATACAGCAGTTCACTTGGTGATTTGTTCGAAAATAGTATCACTAGCGGTCACTGGCACAACGTCGATCAACATCGCAATGGAAAGTGTCCAAATAGGCACTGATGTTGATAATTCGGAAGGATTCGTTTCTCTCGGGTCGACGATATTCCGGGAGGGATCGGTTTTGACTTTCCTGATCGGAGGGACTGACGACGAGTGAGATTTTTGGCTGTCTATAGCGAGATCCACAAACGATATCGGCCCTCCAGAGGTTAAAAAATCACGAGAAAGCGTCGGCTTGCCTTCGAAAACCGGTAACGGGAGACATTCTCACGTACAGTACTTAGAATGCGCAATTAAGGTAATTTCTTAATTTCTTTAATACATTCAAGGATTAGTTTTATACATTACAATTTTCAGGAGTCGATGAGAATCTATCCTCCTGCTCCTTTTATTGCAAGAAAAAATCCTTCGGAAATGAAAATAGGTAATTTTTGAAATCTTGAAATCTGTTTTTTTATTGACTTGAAGCATCAAATTGTTGCCATTCAAGTAGGTAATTACGTGTTGCCTGCAAATTCGACTCTTGTCATCAGTATCTATGCCATCCATCATAATCCTTCCGTTTACGAAAATCCCGAAGTGTTCGATCCAGACCGTTTCCTACCCGAAAACTATAAAAATCTTCATCCTTATGCATTTCTGGCATTTTCCGCCGGTCCACGAAATTGTCTCGGTAAGTGATTAGTGAATAATTACAAAAACAATAAAATGATTTTATTAAAATTATTGAAATTTACAGGAAATAAACTCGCCATGATTAAAATGAAAATGGTTTTGGCAAATGTTCTTCGTAATTTTAAAGTTTACTCTTTGGATCCTCAGGATAAAATTATTACTTCATGGGATGTTATGTTGACCCCAATATCAGGTATAAGAATGTGTGTAGAAAAAAAGATGTATGTTGTAAGATATAAAATAACCTGAACGTTGGAGTAATTTTTATTACAAATATATATAAACATAGATCTATATCATGTAATTTAGAAGAGTGCATTTAAAAACTGTATCGAAAGAATTTGAATTTTACTCGTAAATTGTAATTCTTATTTTTATAAATAAAAAGTATAAGAGTAAAATGTATTGTGACTATTTTTATTCAACTTAGTTTACAGTAATACTAATTTTCACTGTTTATTGCATTTTATTTATTTATCACACTGATAATTTCTCACATTTAAGTTTACCTAAATTAAACTGTTGTTAACGATCTGTTGTTCGTATTTATCTGTATCATTTAAAATGTTCCGAACACAGATCATTCAGTTAATGATGTGTTTAATACAAAATATTTATATTTTATTTTAGTATTTTTCTGATATGTATAGAATGAAAATTATAGGAATACAAATTTAATAAAACTATTTAAAATATGTGACTATGTAATTAATATTTACCTCTTATTGACAGATATACTATGATTATATGGCAGACAGTTCAATAAAGCCTACTCGCCTTTTATATAAAATGTATATAATTGCCAAAAAAAAGTCCAAAATATAACACGTTATTATATATTACAGGAATAAAAATTGTATTTCGTAAATGAAATACAATTTTTGGCATTTTTCTGATATGTTATAGAATGAAAATTATAGGAATACAAATTTAATAAAACTATTTAAAATATGTGACTATGTAATTAATATTTACCTCTTATTGACAGATATACTATGATTATATGGCAGACAGTTCAATAAAGCCTATTCGCCTTTTATATAAAATGTATATAATTGCCAAAAAAAAGTCCAAAATATAACACGTTATTATATATTACAGGAATAAAAATTGTACTTCGTAAATGAAATACAATTTTTGGCACAAAATTACAAGTACAGTACAAAACTTCAATTGTACAAATAGATGTGATTTATTCTACTTGAAATCTATAAGCCACAGTAAAAACAAAAATGAAAACACTGAAGCAAAAATCAAAGCAGGTAACATGCTTTTGTTTTCAAATCTTTTATATGGATTTACGGAATGAAATGTCTTGATTATAAAAAAATAGTATTTGCAAAAAAATATAAAGAATGTTTTTATCATCTTTATCTTTTCTTTAAGGATTTTTTTCCAACTGATTCGGGATTTGCCATTATTTCCTCGATTAATGAACGTTAAATTAGATAAATTTTATAAAGTAGCACCTGTGTATGGAAATTGACCTCTTACGTCAAGCTTTCTGAACATCAATTATAACCTGCGTATTGCCCGAACAGACCTGCACTTGAACAACAAACGCCGAGTTTTATATGAGACCATGCTCGATGACATATTACTAGTATGATAACAGCACTGCTGCAGAAATGGCGTTGGAGCTTTTGAGTTTGCATTGTGTTTATCATAGAAATACTTTCTGTGATTTCGGATTTTTCGGGAACTAAAACAGCAGTGGCGTGCCGTCATTAGAAGCAATGGAAGCGCCGCTTTCCTCGTATTTTCTAAAAAATAAATAAATATTAATTTTAATTATATGAAAATATACGCACAATGTTTTATTATAACCGCATCATGTATCTTACTACAAATTTCTATACTACACGTGAAAAAAATTGCTTTTGTATATACGAATATTAGTGGCGGAGTAGAATCTCTGAAAATTTCAGATTCCAAAGAGCCAGATTTGCGCATTCACTTTACAGAGCATCAAACCTCACCCGGTTTAGCCGGTGGAAGTCTACGATCTTGGGTGGTAGCTGCACACATATAACGATTCCAATTCTATCAAGGACCGGTTCTCGGCTATTAGCCGCTTGCCCACTAGATATTTCGATTACGTGAATAACGAGTATATTTATAACTTAACCCAACCGATAAGAATTTACTGGTACATTTTTACGATAGTTCTGTATAGTTGACAGGAGTTAAAAAAATCCATTAAAATATTTGATATATTTATTCCGTTCTCCGATTTCATAATATTTACGGATTTCGATGTTAAACCAGTGATATTACGATTTCGTACATCCCATCTTTAAGGGGATGTGGAAAAAGAACGTGTACAATTCTTGTATAATGTTTAAAAATTAACCGTTACTTCGACAGCGTCATTTACAACTAAATTTAACGAATGAGAGAGATGCACGAGGTACAGAAAAATCTCTAGAATTTATTTTCCTTAAATTTACGATTTATGTATCCGTTAGTCATAAAAACTTGTCTTTCCATTTTTTCCCGAGCCTACAAATATTCGAGTACAAAGTAACCGGTTTCGACTTATTTCTATTTAAGAAGTAGTTCGATAATTAAGCGATTAGGGAATTGGGGACATAAACAAAACCCTGACGAAAGAGCCGAAATGTTACTTAAACAAAAGCTTAACCGAACCAATCTATAGTCGAGTACAGTGGGGACTGATTTCTTCGTATTATTAATGCAATAAAGACAGAAATTTTTCCAGTTCAACGAGAGTAACCGAAAAGTTGTGAATTTTGGAAATTTTTGTGGACAACACCTGGTCCTAAAACGAATTAGTTAGAAAACAAAAGACGGACAATATATTAAGTTTAACACATTTAGACTTTTACAGCTGTAATGAGTAACGTTTAAAATTTACAAGAACCCTGTCGCGTCATTTGAGGTATATTTGTGATGCGACAAAGGAAGCACTTGACATTACCAAATCCCGAGGGTATCCGCACCCTCGGGATTTGGCAGCCCGCGTGCATGTACACACCGTACACCTAGCAGGACCGTTTCAGATTCTACTCGTAGGGAGCTATTTGACTAAGTGATTAAGATTTATAGAGTAAAGAATATTTTATGTTATTTTCATGTACGTTTCATTACAAAGCTATATTTAATTATAATTTTCTTTAAAAGTATATTCATACAATTGAAGAAAATTTTGTACCAGGTATGTATATCCAACACACATTTTATTTCACCAAGTAAATTTTTATAATTTTATTTTTAATTTTAGCCCTTATATCGTAGCTAGCGATTCGGAATGTAATTGCGATATTGAAAATTTATTTTAAAAAAGTTTTGGCTCGAGATCATATAATGAAAAAGAAAACATTATTAAAAGAGAATGGCCAATGCCTAAGTTAAACATAAACGCTTCAATAAAAATATTTGTTCGACATTTTCACGATAAAATGGCTCTGTAAATGCATAAAATTGCATTTACAGAGTGAAATTAGTGTGTGGAATAAGAATGGCTTTGACAATTTATCTGGCAAAAGACACGAAAAATCGTCGATTCTTTTGTATTTGAAGCAATTTGGAAATCGAAGCGGAATAGAATGTAACATTAGTAAATAATATAAAATAAATATTGAAAATTATAACGAGATAGTTACGGCTAATAGATATATTATATGTAAATAAATAGATGTTATGTGTTTTTATTAAAGCAAGAATTGGCATTTAGAGGGCATATGGAATACATTGGATTTAGTAACAGAGGTAATTATATTAAACTTGTTTATTAAGTACGTAAAATAAATAATCTATTAAAAAAACATTTAAAGAAAGAATTAACTGGTTGCCCTTGGAAATCAGCTTCTTAAAGAGACACAGCTTCCCTATCATCAAATGTCACGGCATGCCCCTGTAAAACAGACTTTAAGTGGTCAATGAATTCTATTGATAGATATCAGTCTTGCTTGCAGTAGAACTATCCAGTCAAGTTGTGGCAAACCTTGGACCCGTGGGTCAGACATGGACTTACTCTGGCTTTTTAAATTATCCACGCGTTGATTTTAATAAACTTATTTTTTATATCATAAAAAAGAGAACAGACAAACAAAAATATTTAAAAAATTACAAGTAATATATATATCTAATGTCGAATTTATAATAGAAACCAGTTAAAAGGCGCAATCAGGTATCGAGGCACGTGCTCGGTGTCATTCCATGGTAAAATAATAAATTAATAAATTCCTACTACACATAAAAATAATAATATAATAAATTATTGTGAGGTAACTTCCTATATCAAAATAAGGTCTTAATATTAATTTTATTCAAGTTACGTAAGAATTGTTAGTAGCTCAGTGAGAAAGTCTCCCGTTACCGGTTTTCAAAGGCAAACCGATTCTTTCTCGTGATTTTTTAAACTTTGGATGGCCGATGTCGTCTGTGGATATCGCTAGAGACGGCCGAAAAACTCAGTTGTCGTCAGTCCCTCTGATCAGGAAAGCCATAACCGATCCGTCCCGGAATATCGTCAAACCGAGAGAAACGAATCCTTCCAAATAATCATGATCAGTGCCCGTTTTAATACCTTCCCTTGTGATAAAGTTGAAGCACGTACATTTTCGTTGCATCGTAGAACGAGGAGATGCACTAGCTCAGGGATATACTGTACATGTCAGGAGTTGCAATTTGGCACAGAGTATTAGGTGCCGAAATCATGCGCGTATAAAAAAACCAGACTTGTAGGTTTCGGGGAACTGAGAACCGAGTCAAAATAAAATTCAAAATGGAGACATTCTCTACATACAGGCAGTAGTGCGACATTTGTGCATGCGTTGTTCGTTCGAAACTTGAAAATGAGAATGTTACGAAATCGAATTTTGGCAAACCAATCTTTGAGAAAAAACCCATTTACTTGTTCCGTGTTATTCCCGACTATGCTCGCTACGTATCTCTTGTCGCGACATGCTGACCCTTACCAGTTGACCCGAGATATCTTGTTTCAGTATCGAAATCATTCTTCAAAGTAAATGACGCTAGTCATTATTATTTTATATTAAAACTAACGTCCGAAATATAATTTGCTTTTACTACAATTATTAATATATATTGTTTGTGCAAAATAAAAAATTTATTTCGGATGATACGATAGCCAGAATTATTTTTTCGAAAACAAGAAATTTTCGTTATGCATCGACAAAAATTCAACTCGGGGAAACACGCAACGTTGAGAAACTTCGAATTTGGATAGGTTAATTCGTCGAAAATGGTCGTAGCCGGCGAAGTTTGAATGATCGCGCTCAAAACCAGCAATAAGAAAGTAGATTGGAAAATGAGAATGAGTCCCGTCTCGAACGTCAAAGTGATTCCGCTTAGTAGTAAATCTCAGAGACATAGTCTTATTCCAAATACGGCCTTGCCTATTGTTTTTTCATTGTTGTTTGTATACTGGCAAAATGAAGTGACCTTCTTTATCAACACTTGGCAAGTTTTCAATCTTTATTCAGTTATTATTGTTTTTTCATTATTAAAGTTTTTCATCTACATACGTACGTACGTCAAGTAGAGAAGAACGTGGTATTATGGAACCCCATTTTCATTATAGTGAATTGTAAACAAGGTATCATAACTACACTCACATATTTTGTGCAAAAAGTACACGTAACTATTAAACTAAATGTTCCTAATTGGATTTTTTGCTATCGTAACAATAAGTATGGTTTTTGAAGGCTACTGTGCAAAAGTCAGAAAAAATCGGGTGGTAATATGGAACCTTACTGTATGTTTTCAAAAAATGCTTTAATGTATCCAAAAACAAATAGGAAAGTACAAAGAATGTTAAATAATTACAAAATCATTTACTCCAATGTATTTTATCGAAAAAATACTTTTATAATAGAAACATATAACCTCCATCAACAATATATATTCCAGCAGCTCTTTTTCAATATTCTCAGGAAAAATTGGCTTTCTACCTAGTGTCTTTTTCACAAATTGCTCCAGACGAATGTCTGCTTGCGAAGAGAGAGTTTGGAGGAGTTTGGATCCCAGAGGAGTTTGGTTCCATATTAAGAGCACCAATGAAATCGCCATCTTGAAATAACTTATGTCTGTCAACACCAAACTTTAGAAAACGTGAACATTACACAAATTAACATGTACCCCTAAGTCTCTGAAACGAAATACATGCACCAGTGAATCTACAACTACACGATTTATATTTTAAGAATAGTTAAATTCACTTAGCATTCAAAACTTTTGAATTTTGAAAAACACAAATTTGCTGATTCTCCATGGACAACCGTTAAACTGAAAAGAAACGGGTTTTCCCCTTTCTATGGATTTCTGCCTAATGCAGTTCAGCCACAATCCGCTACAGTTCGCGTTTATTATCAGTTCGAAATGGAATGGTTCCATAATACCCGCAGTGTTCCATAATACCATTTTTTGCTTTACATTAATAAGAAATTTCTTTTTTTTTAGTTATTTGTTGAAACCGTGTCTTCTTTTTCTTGTTTCTTCTGATTCTATGTCACGACATGGTGCATTTATAGACACTTGGCAAATAATTCCATCACCTACATTTACTTCTTACAGAAACGCGTTTCGGGCTTTCGCCCCCCTTCAGTCTGTTACGTCGATAGTTGTGACTTGTGTGTCCGTACTTCCCGCTCCCTTCTCCTCCCCTCGTTTCCCGACTTGACGGACTCCCCCGCATGCCTCGTAATTTGTAACATTACCCTTCTCCGAGTATTGCACACAGCCTCGCCTGCGGCTGTATAAACCTTCTATTTTATTTTAATAATTGAAGCCAGTTTTTATGAATGTCGATGCTAAGGTTCTTGTTAATATTATTTTTGTCTATAGTAATTTCGTAGCTTTCTTTGAATTTTCTTTTGTACCAATTTTTTTCTTTGTGTACTATTGTTGCATCCTTTTTATCTATTTTGCAGTTGTGGGTCGTGCAGTGTTCGTAAAAAACTGAGTTGATTCTGTTATACTTCAGGTCTGCGATGTGTTCTTTTAGTCTTGTTTCTAATTTTCTTTTTGTTTCACCGATGTATACTTTTGGGGGTTCGCATGTGCAAGGTATTTTATAGACGACTTCGGTAGTGCTGTATTTGTCTGGTTGTTTATTTCTGTCNACACATATTAGAGAAAAGCGAGCACTCAAAACTCTATCACTACCAAAAAGTATAGAAAAAGCCATACCCAATAGAGAAATAAATATAATCAATTTAAAAATATTAAAGGCAGCAATAAAATATAAATATATAGCGATTACCAAAATAAAAAAGAAACTCAGGAAACTAGGCATCAAACAAGATATTCACTTGGAAAGACCCGAAAAAAGAAAACTGGATAATTACGAAGAAAAGAAAATTACACGGCTAAGCAATAGATTTGAATACCCGAGACCCCGTGAAATCAAAAAGTGGAAAGACAACTTAGTGATAAACAAAACCGACGTAGAGATACCAACAAATATATTAAAAATACTACAAACTGGATTAGACTTTAACGGCCCAAACCGATGGGACAAACTAGACATCATATCGCACCTAGATTATATATGTAGCAAAGTAACCCCCCCAGAGGATCACAACGATATAAAAATAGAAATTAGCAACAAATTAAAAAATTATGTAAAAAACGAAAATAGAGGGAAAAAAATTACTGAAAAATCGTACGTCAAATATAAAGACAGTATGGCACAACTACAAACCTACTTAATAGCAAATAACATAGATATCATAAAAGCAGATAAATCCAAGCAGATTATCATAGTGAAACAGGAATGGATCCAAACCAAAAAATCAGAAATAGTTAATAGCGAGCCTTTCAGAGAACTACCAATAGACCCAAAAGAAATCATTTATGTTGAACTCAAAAAACGAATAAATAAGCAATTTCAACTAAAAAACATAGAAAGAGAAGACAAACAGTATATTCTAGCAAACGAAAATAGCAGAACTCCTAAGCTAAACATACAACTAAAAACACATAAGCCAGGCGAACAAATAAGACCCGTCGTCGACTTCAAAAACTCAACCCTATATAATTTAGAAAAATACTTAAAACGTGAATTACAAAAGTACAATAATTCGGAATACTCCATCAAGCACGCAGACGAACTTATACATGACATGAAAAATATAAAAATGAGCAAAAATTACAGACTCGCAAGCCTAGATATAATAAACATGTACCCTTCGATAACCTGGAACCTAATAGAAAGTACACTAAAAAAGATTGAAGCAAAGGAAGAGGTAATGGATCTAATAGAATTCGCATACAGGAGCAACTATTTCGAAGTCAACAATAAGTTCTACACGCAACGGTCAGGCATAAGCATGGGATCAGTTATAGGACCGAAGCTAGCAGAACTTGTCATGGTAGATATAGACCAAGCAATCAAAAAGTTTACAGGCATAAAGTTCTATAAACGATACGTGGATGACATAATTATACTATACGACCAAGAATTAACAAAATTAGAAGAAATAGAAGAAAAAATAAACAAATTAAACGATAACATCAAATTCAAGGTAGAAAATGAGGCAAACACAGAAATAAATTACCTCGACATAAAAATAATCAGGAAAGAAAACAGGATCGAATTCGAGCCATACACAAAACCATGCGAGATCAGGAAAGTGCTAAACTACAACTCAAACATCCCACAGTACATAAAAGAAAACATATTCATCATGGAATATAAAAAGATCGAGAACAGAACAAGCTCACTACCGACGAAGGAAAAACACCTCAACGAACTGCGAACAAAATTCCTACTAAACGGCTATCCAAAACGAATGCTAAACAACTGGGAAAGGAAAATGAACAACAAAAGGCTGGTAAATAAACAAAACGATAGAAACACCGTAAGATACATACCCTTCCCTTACATCCGTGGCTTCTTTGAACAAGTAAACAAAAGCTTTGAAAAAATAGATATAAAGCTAGCCCCAACCTATAACAACCTGCAAAAAAGAATCCGGAAGACTGTACCCGACAGAAATAAACAACCAGACAAATACAGCACTACCGAAGTCGTCTATAAAATACCTTGCACATGCGAACCCCCAAAAGTATACATCGGTGAAACAAAAAGAAAATTAGAAACAAGACTAAAAGAACACATCGCAGACCTGAAGTATAACAGAATCAACTCAGTTTTTTACGAACACTGCACGACCCACAACTGCAAAATAGATAAAAAGGATGCAACAATAGTACACAAAGAAAAAAATTGGTACAAAAGAAAATTCAAAGAAAGCTACGAAATTACTATAGACAAAAATAATATTAACAAGAACCTTAGCATCGACATTCATAAAAACTGGCTTCAATTGTTAAAATAAAATAGAAGGTTTATACAGCCGCAGGCGAGGCTGTGTGCAATACTCGGAGAAGGGTAATGTTACAAATTACGAGGCATGCGGGGGAGTCCGTCAAGTCGGGAAAAAAGAGGGGAGGGGAAGGGAGCGGGAAGTACGGACACACAAGTCACAACTATCGACGTAACAGACTGAAGAGGGGCGAAAGCCCGAAACGCGTTTCTGTAAGAAGTAAATGTAGGTGATGGAATTATTTGCCAAGTGTCTATAAATGCACCAAGTCGTAACATAGAATCAGAAGAAACAAGAAATTTCTTCTCAAATTATTTTATTCTAAATATATTCCTAAATACAGGTTCCAGACCATATCAAACGGAATGGTTTAATAAATATGATGTGATTGAAAAGAATAAAACGACTTCGTGTGTAATTTGTTACGAAAAAGTCATTTTACGTACATACAATGTAAAAACACATTTTGAAAAGTTCTATTATAATCTTGGCCTTTCAACAGATGACGAAAGAACATATTTTTTACAAAAGAAAAAAGAGAATCCAGTGTTTTAAAAACTTTTTTCATTCCAAAAATTGACATTACAGCTGCTAACTTTTACGTTGGCCATTGCATTGCTCACTACGGGAAACCTCTTTTAGAAGGAGAGTTTGTAAAACAAGCGTTTTTAGAATGTGGTGCTACTTTGCAGATTTTAATACAGTGGAACCTCGGTATACGACCTTAATCCGTTCTCGATGTTTGGACTTATACCGAATTGGACGTATACCAAACCAACCTTTCCCATAAGAAGTAATGTAAAAATGATTAATCCGTTCTCGTGTAAAAAAATGGCTGGCTTTAAACACCTCGCTTTCCTGGCTAGTTCCTGCTTGATTTTTCGTGAGATCAGCGTGTATCTTTTTAGCTTTCTCGCAAATAATTGCTTCTGATACGCTGTCTCCAGCACACCGTTTTTCAGTTATCCAAAGCAAAAGCAATTTTTCGACATGATCTAATGTGTTTGATCTCTGTTTAGAAATTGATTTAACCCCTTTCGCAGCGTTAGCAAATTTAATAATGTCTTTATTTTTCGCGATTGTCCATATCGTCGTTCTCGGAATATGGTAAACAACAGTTAAAATCTCGAGCGTGCGTGCCACCTTCGTATTTCTCAACAATCTCTTTTATCAGTTCCATTGTAATTCTAGTCAATTTTTTAGTTTTCTGTCGCTTTTCATTTGCCATATTGCGATTCGTGATTAATAAAAATATTAAAATTTTACTTACGAATTAAAATCAGAAGAAATTTAACAAAGTTATAAACCGTTGCACCGCATAGTCTAGTCTGGTCTAATACACTGATAGTGCTACTTGTTCATTGATGGCGCGTATAATTGAATTATGTCGTATAGCGAACAAAAGTCGTATACCGAGCAAAATTTGTTTCGTCCAAACACGACATATTCCGAATTGGACGTATTCTAAAGCAGACGTATACCGAGGTACCACTGTAATTTAANCGTTCCCGATGTTTGGACTTATACCGAATTGGACGTATACCAAACCAACCTTTCCCATAAGAAGTAATGTAAAAATGATTAATCCGTTCTCGTGTAAAAAAATGGCTGGCTTTAAACACCTCGCTTTCCTGGCTAGTTCCTGCTTGATTTTTCGTGAGATCAGCGTGTATCTTTTTAGCTTTCTCGCAAATAATTGCTTCTGATACGCTGTCTCCAGCACACCGTTTTTCAGTTATCCAAAGCAAAAGCAATTTTTCGACATGATCTAATGTGTTTGATCTCTGTTTAGAAATTGATTTAACCCCTTTCGCAGCGTTAGCAAATTTAATAATGTCTTTATTTTTCGCGATTGTCCATATCGTCGTTCTCGGAATATGGTAAACAACAGTTAAAATCTCGAGCGTGCGTGCCACCTTCGTATTTCTCAACAATCTCTTTTATCAGTTCCATTGTAATTCTAGTCAATTTTTTAGTTTTCTGTCGCTTTTCATTTGCCATATTGCGATTCGTGATTAATAAAAATATTAAAATTTTACTTACGAATTAAAATCAGAAGAAATTTAACAAAGTTATAAACCGTTGCACCGCATAGTCTAGTCTGGTCTAATACACTGATAGTGCTACTTGTTCATTGATGGCGCGTATAATTGAATTATGTCGTATAGCGAACAAAAGTCGTATACCGAGCAAAATTTGTTTCGTCCAAACACGACATATTCCGAATTGGACGTATTCTAAAGCAGACGTATACCGAGGTACCACTGTATATTAAAAATTAAAATAAACTTAATTTTTGAATAAAATTAATTAAATCTCAATAATAATGATAAAGGACGCTTTTAGCCCACGACTTTAATTAGATAGAGTAAGATAACGTAATAAATAGGATTCTAACAATTTGGAGGGTTTATCACACAAGCCCGACCAAAAAATAGACCAGATCCTTTACAAAAAGCCAACTGCCATAAAATCCATAAGACAGTTTGAAGCCAAGTAACTGCCTTGTTACAAATGATGTCAATATATTTAGAATTAATTTTAAATTCACTGTCCTACGTCAAGAAGGGACATAGGGTTTGTCTGGTGAATGGGTGCTAGTAAGTGTGCTCCGTATTTCGATCGCCAAATCTAAGGATAATTTGCGTCCACAGATAAAAGGAATATACCGTTGGATAGCGCAAGTAATAAGGATTCCGTAAGTGTAAACATTTTGGTTTTCCGATCGGTAGTTCTAAAGTTACGAGCGTTCGTAATTTTCGATTTTGTTCGGGCTCCTTAGGGCCCCATAAATGCCACCGATTAAGTTTAACGACGGTTTTAGTCAGATAATACTTCCATCTAAGACGTGTATAAATTTCGTTCGGTTAGCTCTTACGGTTATTGAGTTATTAACGATCAAATATTTTACCGTTAACAAAGAGCCACTCCACCACGTGGTTGTTAGCCGATCGGCGTGGTTTTAACCGTTCGGCGTCGGTTTCGCGTGGTAGCGGGTAACTGCTTTTCCGGTTCCGCTTTTTGGTGAAAGCTTTATCTTAGCTTTTTCTATCTACCGGGTTAGCGCGAGCTAATTCGGATCGGCGGGTTAAAGGCTAGGCGTTTAGCCGATCGGCGTTCCGTTGTTTTTTCGGAACAAATTGTTTCCGCGCTTACTTAACTGTTTTACGTGTTTATTGCTGTATTTGCTAAGGGCCCATTTTTCCGAGGCCTAAATCCTTGTCGTGTTAAAGTTACTTAGATTAAGCCGATCGGCGTGTTCGAGCCGAACGGCTATTGTGGTATATATATTGGTAAGGAACGTTTTGACTTCGCTTCTCGCTCACGATGGAATCTCCAGAACCGCCTGAGGATGTGGAACAACTAACAGTACCATCTACACCATCAGTACCTGCCACACAATGTCCTTCGGTCAGTATCCTCTTGGGATGCCGCGTGTCGTATATGACACGCAATTTTCCTTCCAAAGAATGAGATGCAGCTCTGCTTTTTTGCTTGCTAAATAATTATATTAGTTATACATTTCGTCATTAGAGTTTAGTGAAGCTTATTAGACCACATGCGTTTTACTGTGACAGAAACAAAGGAAAATATAAGTGATTGTCTGAGCACATGTTTTTGGAAGTGATCATAAGTATGACTTCTTTATGTTAATATTCAGTTTTCTCTATTTCTATTGATTATAATTTTACAATTTATGCACTTTTTTGTTGAGGAGACTTCTAAGATTATATAAGAGTATTTTTTAAAAACTATATTAATAACAATATTTCATGAGATGAGCTAACTTTTTAACATATCATATACGACACATTGGGTCTCAATGTTACAATAATTACATTACAGTGTATGAACTGTTTTCGTATTTGCAAGTTATTTACTTTTATAGATATTTGGTTATTAGGACCGCAATATGTTTTCTATTATTTATTATCATTTTTAATTCAATTAATTTATTAATAAAAATAATTATTTTTTTTATTCATCACAAATTTCTGTGATTTGTTTTTGTCTACTTATTTTTTTGGTCTGCAAAGTTTTTTTTATTAAAAACTTATAAATTATTAATATCATAAATCACATATTTATAATAAATGTCAATGATCTAGTTTTAATTTATCATTGTCAACAGCGAAAATAAAAAAGAAACATGATAGGACACATGATATTGATAGAAATTTGTCTGAACTGAAAGTCTGGTTCAGTGATAAAGACATGACCAAACATTTGTTCTTTGAGCAGACTGTCCTAGAGAGTGTAAGTCATTAGTCTGCTCAAAAAACAAATTAAAAAAGTGTCAAAATCGCTATCACATTCAGACAGTACATGCAATAAGAAAAAAGGGATAAATTAATAAACGAAAAACAAAGAAAATCATACAAAAAATACTTCAACTTTGCATCCCAGTGAAATACAATGCAAAAGTAAAGCAAAACACATGCTAGAAATCATAGTAAATCGCAAAAATTACCACTGCCCAATGCAAGAATGTAGAAGTGTATGATCTACAGTGTACTGTATCAACTGCAAAATACATCTGTGCCTTGGTAAAATAAAATTTGTTTCAAAGCATATCATATGTAAATATAAAATGCAAAATAATATACAAAAACACTCAAATAAACCATTTTTACATAAACGGAAAAGTTTGCATTTTGTATAGGTAGAGAACCATTGTGTCATATAGGACACGTACCATTTTTTAATGACCACAACAAAAAAATTTTAGAAAAATGGCAATTTACTAATAAGTGGCACCTAAAGGTCAAAAGGAAAACAAAACTTCAATAAAAAAAATAGTTTTTTTTCAGTAGTGGATCCCAAGAGAATATACAAAATCTTGAAAACAAGATTTTGGGGGAAGCCAGCCTGCATTTAAAGAAGGTCTTCTCCCCGCCAAGTATAAACCTTCACTGAACACAGAAGATCGTAAGGAGGTAAAGAACCGTGCGTTACAACTGCACAGTTGCGTTTGCCAGATGTTCGGGATTCTGCGCGAATTGAGGACCAAA